GGGGTGGGGGGATGGGTCAGCCCAGTGATGGGTATTAAGGAGGGCACGTACTGCATGGAGCACTGGGTGTTATACGAAAACAATGAATCGTGGATCACTACATCAAAAACTAATGATGTATTGTATGGTGACTAAGATAACATAATAAAATAAAATTAAAAAAAAGAAAGGTAAAAAAATAAATTTTATTGAAATAAATATTAAAAAAGAAATAGAATAAAAGATGGAATTCACCCCTTCTTGTCTGATTTTTTTCAGATGGGCCATCAATCTTCTCTTGCCCTCAGCGCTCCTGGCTCTCAGACCTTCAGACCTTTACTGGAACCCACATCATCAGTGCCCCTGGCTCTCTGGCCTTTGCATTTGGACTAAATTACACTATGGGCTTTCCTGGGCCTCCAGCTTGCAGAGGCAGATCGTGAGAATTCTCAGCCTTAATACTGCATTTCCTTCTAAAAAAATAAATATATAGGGACGCCTGAGTGGCTCAGGCGTGAGTGCCTGAGTGAGTGCCTCACTCTTGATTTCGGTTCAGGTCATGATCTCAGCGTCCTGAAATAGAGCCCCCATCAGGTTCTGTGCTCAGCACAGCAGTATCTACTTAAGATTCTCTAAATAAATAAATAAAATATTTTTAATAAGTAAATCTATATTTATATTTATCATTTGGATATCTATATATCTATCTATATATCATTTGAATATATATATATCTCATGACTAATACACTCATTGTCTCCCTTCTGGAGGCCTGGAATATGCCATCAACTTTTACTTACTTCTCCCAACTCCAAAAGAAGGGATGACCCAGCAGGCCACTCAGGTGCCCCTGCACATTGTCTCCAGGGTTAAACAGTTGATGAATGAGGTCCCGAGTTTCCTCATCTGGAGAAAGTTGAATCACCTCTTCATTACTTTTAGTCTTCAGTGTCTCAAAAGGGAGCTCTCCCTTCCTTACCACATATAGGACTAGCTGTCCAAGGGCCTGCACGAAAGCCACAAATCAAGCCAAAGTTGTCTATGAATTCTCACTCTGTATGGAGGTGTGGTGCAGGTTATGACCAAATGGAAAGTGGGAGAAATCTCAAGGAGTCTACAGGTTCTGCATGTAGAACCCTTCAAGACAGTATATGGTCCCCACAATTTAGGTTTATGAGGAGCAAAAGATTAATCCTAGGCCGAATTGTCAGGGCAAACTGCTTAGAGGAAGAGGAATTTGAGCTGGACCTTAAAGTATGGATCGAATGTCAAAAAACAGGGGAGAGGAAAACTGTTTTCAACAAGGGAAATGCCAGGACTCTGGCTGGAAACTGAGACTTTGGGTTGGGACTATGTGAGATGGCAGATAAAGGAGCCAGTCCACGTCCAGTGGGACACGGTGACAGCTCCAGCAGTTAGGTCACGACAGGGAAGAAAGGTCAAGCAGGAGGCCAACATACACACTTCCTACAGCAGGCAAGACACCAGTCACGGAAGGAGCTACAATCCTTTTAGCAGCAAAGGCCAGATGTGGCTGGAGAGCTCTTGCCCCGGGGTTGAACGTTCTGCATCCTGGAGAACCTCCCAGGAGGAAACTGCCCGGACAGGGTCAGAGTCAACCTGGGAGCTTTGGTCTGCAGGGGTCAGGCTCTGTTTCTGCTGTCTCCTTCCAGGAGAAACAGCTATTTCAGGCTCGTAACCTCTGTGGCCAAGATTAGTTTCTTTCAAGCTGGGGACCAATCCCATCCTTCCCATGGGTTTCAGAGGGCCTTCGTATCTGGCCCTCCTAGGAGTTCAGCATACAAGTTTGAACAGAATGGGAAAAGAAATCCCATTTGCTTTGTCTGCAGGTGGGAAATACCTCCTGCAGGAATTTGGGAGGCCATTTGGACATACCTCCTGGAGGTAATTTTAGAAGAGGTATGGCATGTTCAATTCGTTTCCTATCTAGCTGGTGGAGGAAGAGAGAGAGCCAAAGAAATACAGAAAGGGGCCACAGCAGCCCAGAGAAATGCCACTGTCGGCAAGGGAGTGAAGACAGTAAGCCCTGGGGGAATGCCTTGGAAGTTAGAAGAGGTAAAACAGAAATGACGTCTAACTGGCCATAGGAAATAAGGGAATGAACAAAACAAATAAGGAAGCAGAAAGATGGAAAAGTAAACCAATTGTAGAATTTACCTGTAGATCTCTCTTGATTTCCTGCGGCTCTCCAGTCCACTTGATGCTTTTATCAAAATCTGCCAGGCAAACAGCATTCTTGGAATCTAAGGGATAGTTTGTAGAGATACAGTGAAAATCCTCTCTCTTCATGTTGTAATTAACTTAAATAATTATGTACCACAATGCGCTATCATCTCTGAAGAAGGCAATAATAAAGCTTATATCTGCATGGCTATTTACTCTTCAAAAGAGCCATGTGCACAGTGTCATTTGATTTATTAGGTATCTGCCAAGGGCAGGATTGAAATTTCATTTTCTCCAGGCCTGGGCATGGGGAAGGATGAGGATAAAGTTGACCAGTTCCCCATTCAGGCAATTCCTGGGGGCAATGAGCACAGATTTATAAAGGGACCGTTGGCAGGAGATACGCTGACTTCCTAAGGCTAATTAACAACTAACCAATGAGACTCCAAATCCAAGAGCAGCTTACCACAGTGCTCCACTCAATCAAGCCCACCAACCACAGCCCCCTGTGACACTGTAATCAGTTATCATGGATTAACCATGTGCTTGAAATGAGCCACTACCTCCTTGCCCTCTTCAGAATCGTTCTCCCTTGAAGGAAACCACTGAGTCCTCAGGAAGAAGGATGCATGGATGGGTGAGGTCAGGAACAAGATGAAAGAAGAGCAAGTCAGTGACCTGTCCTTGAAGAAGTAGCTCCTGCTTCTGGCTTGAAGGCGTCTAAGAAAGCAAACCGAGTAACTCCAGGCAGCAGCAGGATGGTCAGCACAACTGTGTGCTTGTCAAACCCCTTTGGTTCTGAACTTAGATATCAAAGTTGGGTGTAAACCCACAGTCTAACAAAAACGAACCCATTAAACTATTCAACAAGGGTCTAGTGAGGGGGAAAATGACAGTGAAAGAGGAGAACACAGCACAGGCCCTGTGGAGTTTTGAGTCTCTGAGCAATGAGTGAATGTAAAATTAATTACAACTTTATTTTTTTTAAAGACTTATTTATTTATTTTAGAAAGAGAGAGAGCAAGTAGGGAGAGGGACAGAAAGAGACAAGCAGACCCTGCACGGAGCATAGAGCCCCATGCAGGGCTCGATCCCAGCACCCTGAGATCATGACCTGGGCCGAAGGCAGATGCTTAACCGGTTGAGCCACCCAGGCGACCCTAATTGCAACTTTAAAAATGCTAGCCCAAAGTGCAGGATGCTCTGAAAGTGTATAACAAGAGCCACATGGCTGTGTGCGGGAGAAAAGTCTTCCTTTAAGGAAGGACACTGAGAACAGAGATCAGTAGAATTCACATGGGAGAATGGAACAGGGAAGAGAGAAATCCAGATAGGAATTCCCAAGGCAGAAAGGAACCTGAGGAATTCCACTCTGACAGAAAGGAGGCCCGACAGCCTGGAAAGAAGGGATGAAGGTGGAAATTAGCCTGCAATGAGGTTGAAGGGGCAGAGGGTGCAGATTGGAAACCAGAGACTGCTTTCAGCTATTCCAACTAATAAATCCCCTTCACTGTTTAAGCCACTTTGAGTTCTCTGCTACTTCACTTTGCAAGTGCCTAAGGGAACACTTCACATCTCTTCTAACACTTGATTTTTTTTTTTTAATGAGCCCCAGGGTTTTTTTATTTATTTTTAGATTCAATCAACATTGTTAAAGTGCTATAAAAATTTTAAACTCTTACACTTAGTTTCTGCACTTACAGAATCACAGACTGCTAACAGCTGATGGGCAGAGTTAGGATAAAATTTGCGCACTCCACCCTGCTGTCAGTGAATCAAGAGTCTCTTCATCCTCACTCCCAGCACTGCAATATCAACTAAGATGATATTTTTTAATTAAAGATTTTAATTAAATAGATAAATAATTTTTCATTAAAAATAACACATATTTAGGTTACTTAAACAATTAATTTTTTTTGTTTATTCTTTGCTGCTTGTAAGTCACTATTTTCTACCAGGCTCTTTCTCTCCTTCCTTATGCATATCCTCTAGCAGTTCTTTCATATATGGTCTGTGGGTAGGAAGTCTTCCTGGATCCTTAAATGTTTAAAAAATGTATTTCAACAACTGGTGCTTAGAAAAACTGGACAGCTACATGCAAAAGAATGAAAATGGACCACTTCTTATACCATACACAAAAATAAACTCAAAATGGATTACAGACCTAAATGTGAAACGTGAAACCATTAAACCCCTAGAAAAAAAACCAGACAGTAATTTCTTTGACATTGGCCATAGGAACACTTTTCCAGATATGTCTCCTCAGGCAAGGAAAACCAAAGCAAAACTAAACCACTGGGACTACACCAAAATAAAAAGCTTCTGCACAGCAAAGGAAACTATCAGCAAAACGACAAAGGAGCCTACTGAATGGGAGAAGATATCTGCAAATGATATATCCGATAACGGGTTAATATCAAAAATGTATAAAGAACATATGCAACTCAACACCAAAAAAACACAAACAATTCAATTAAAAATGGGCAGAGGTCCTGAATAGACATTTTTTCCAAAGAAGACATACAAAGGGCCAACAGACACATGAAAAGATTCTCAACATCATTCATCATCAGGGAAATGCAAATCAAAACCATGAAGAGATATCACCTTACCCTTGTCAGAATGGCTAGAATCAAAAAGACAATAAATAATAAGTGTTGGCAATAATGTGGAGAGAAAGAAACCATTAGGCACACTGTTGGTGGGAATGTAAATTGGTGCAACCACTGTGGAAAACAGTATGGAGGTTCCCCAAAAAGTTAAAAATAGAAATACCATATATCCAGTAATTCCACCACTGGGTATTTACCCAAAGAAAACAAAACCACTAATTTGAAAAGTTATATGCACACTTATGTGCTGCAGCATTATTTACAATAACCAAGATATGGAAGCATCTCAAGTGTCCATCAATAGATGAGTGGGTAAAAAAGATGTGGCATATATATACACATATATAATGGAATATTACTCAGCCATCAAAAAAATGAGATCTTGCCATTTGTGACAATATGGATGGTCCTAGAGAGTATAATGCTAAGTGAAGTAAGTCAGTTAGAGAAAGCCAAACACCATATGATTTCACAAACAAAGGGAGAAAAAAGGACAAACCAAAAAACACTCTTAAATACAGAGGACAAACGGGTGGTTTCCAGAGGGGAGGTGGGTAGGGGGATGGGGGAAATAAAGGGGATTAAAGTACACTTTTCATGATGAGCACTGAGTAATGTCTAGAATTGCTGAATCATTATATTGTATACCTGAAACTAATATAACACCATATGTTAATAATACTTCAATCAAAAATATGTATTTATTTTGAATCATGTATAATTTGATGGTTGTCTTAGTCAATTCTGGATGCTATAACAAATTACAGTAGATGGGTGTAGCTTAAACAACAGAAATTGATTTTTTTCGCACAGCTCTGAACATTGGAAATCTGAGCTCAGGGTGTCAGCAGCATTGCATTCATGGTAAGGGCCCGCATATTGGTGTATAGACAGCCATCTTCTTTGCTGTATCCTCGTATGGTAGAAAGACAACTAGCTAGCTCTTTTTATAAGGGCACTAATCCATCCAAAGCAATTTTGAGAAAGAATAAAGCTGGAGGCATCACACTTCCTGGTTTTAAACTATATTACAAAGACCTAGTAATCAAAATAGTACAGGACTGGTATAAAACCAGGCACATAGATGAATGAAACAGAACCAAGAGCCCAAAAATAAACCCACACATATGCAGTCAACTAATATTTGACAAGGGAGCCAAGAATGCTCAATGGGGAAAAGATAATCTCTTCAAAAAATGATGTTGGAAAAACTGGATAATTACATGCAAAAGAATGAAAGTAGACCCCTATCTTATGCCACTCACAAAAACTAATTTGAAATGGATTAAAGACTTAAATGTAAAACCTGAAACCATAAAACTCCTAGAAGAAAACATAGGGAAAAAGCACCTTGATATTGGTCTTAGCAATGATATTTTAGATATGACACCAAAAGCACAGCAACAAAAGCAAAAATAAACAAGTGAGACTACATCAGACTAAAAGCTTCTGCACAGCAAAAGAAACCATCAACAAAATGAAAAGGCAATGTATAGAAATGAAGAAAATATTTACGAATCAGGTATCTGATATGGAGTAAATATACATATTAATATATATTTATATATATGAAATTTCCATGCATATGAAATATATATGTGAAATTTATATATGAAATATATATTTATGTACATGAAATATATATATTTATATATATGAAATTCATTCAACTCAATAGCAAAAATCAAATGCTCTGATTAAAAAATGGGCAAAGGACCTGAATAGACATTTTTCCGAAGACATTAAAAGAGCCAACAGGTACATGAAAAAGTGCTCAATATCAGTAATTTTCAGGGAAATGCAAATCAAAACTACAATGTGATATCATCTCACACATCTGTTAGAATAATTATCAAAAAACAGGAGATAACAAGAGTTGGTGAAGATGTGGACAAACGGGAACCCTGTGTATTTTTGGTGGGGATGTAAATTGGTGCAGCCACAATGGAAAACAGCATGAAGGTTTCTCAAAAAATTAAAAATAGATAAAACAGAAGTGTATCTGAAGGAAATAAAATCACTATCTTGAAAGGATATCTGCAGGGTTTCAACATATGAATTCTGGGGGAATACTAAGATTCAGCTGTTAGTAGGTTCTTTCTCCTCAGTTCCTTTTTTTTTTTGTATTCAGGTTACTGAGGAGAGAAGTCTCTTACCAATCTGATTCTGGTTTCTATGTAGGTAATCTGTTTTCTCTTGGGAGCTTTTGAGATTTTCTCTTTCTCCCTTGATGTTTTGATATTCCTTTAAGATGTGACTCAGTGGGTTTTTTTCCTTACTTGCCCTCAGCTCTTGGTGAGTTTTTCAATAAGAGAAATATATCTATCTTTATTTCTGGGACATTCTCACTTTTTTTTTTTCAAATATTGCTTCAACCTCATTTCTTCTTCCCTCTGAAATGCCTACTAGAACTTCAGATCTAAATCCTGACTTCTAAACCTTTTTCCCTATCCACCCCTTTATGCTTTTCTATTATTTCCCAGGAAAATTTCTTGGGCATGTCTTCTAGCTCGCTAATTTAATCTTCAATCCAGTCTCGAGTTTTAAATTTTTAAACAATTATATTTTAAATTCCCAAATTCTCTATTCGTTCTTTTCACAATGCTTATCATTGCTTCTTGGATGAAATAACCTATCTTGGTTCTCTGGTTTTATTAATTATACTTACTTTAAAGTACTGTGGTTACTCAGGATGGCAAACTAAGTAAATGCCCATGTCCTAATCCCTGGAATCTGCAAATATTATTTTATATAGTTACACACTCACACAAAAGGACTTTGCAGATGTGATTAAGAATCTTGAAACAGTGGGCACCTGGGTGGCTTAGTCAGTTAAGCGTCCGACTCTTGATTTAGGCTCAGGTCATGATTTCAAGGTAGTGAGACCAAGCCCCATGTCAGGCTCTGTGGTGAGTGTGGAGACTACTTAAGATTCTCTCTCTTCTCCCTCTGCCCCTCCCTGCTCACACTCTCTCTCCCTCTCTAAAAAAAGAGAGAGAAAATCTTGAAATAGTAGAGATTGTCCCGGGTTAGCAGGGTGAGTCCTAAATGCAATCACACATATCCTTATGCAAGGCAGGCAAAGGGAGATCTGACAACAGAAGAGAAGGCAATGACTACAGAGGCAGAGATTGGAGTGACGCCACAAGCCAAGGAATACTAGCTGCCCACCAGAACAGGGAAGAGACAAGGGTCTCCCGCCACAGCCTACAAAGGGAATTTGGCCCTGCTGACACGTGATTTGGGGCCAGTGGAACTGATTTCATACCTTTTGCCTCCAGAACTATGGGAGAATAAATTTCTACTGTTTTAAGCCACCAAGTTTGTGATAATTTGTTCCAGCAGCCATAGGAAACTAATACACTCAGTTAGCTTTGTTTCTTTGGGTCTAAGTTCTTCTATTTCATGCATCTCTTTCAGGGTATCAGCACTTCATAAATATCTTCAGTGATTTTTGACTGTAAGCCTTACTTTGCAGTTGAGAATCCCTGATCCCTTTGAGTTGCTTCTGTTAATGCCACCCAACACGGGGGAGAGATGGAGGCAGTTGTCAGAACTTCTGCTTTGCGTTTTATTCAGTGAAACTAGGGGGTAAGCAGGATGTGCCACTTAGTAGGGTGTTTGGCAGAAATCTTGTGGATTTAACTGCTCTTTGTTTCTCTTGAGATCATCAACCACCCAGTGTCTCAAGTAGTAGCCCTGTCTGCAGACAGACAGGCCTGGCACAGATGCTTGGTCTGTGGGGAATGCACAGGGTGTGATCTTCCTATTTTCTACTGATGCAGCAATCTACCTGTTGGCTGATCTTTTGTCCTCTCCTGCTTCTGGCTTCCATTACTCCTGAGTGGTGTTTCTTTGCACTGTTCCTACTTTTATGAGTAAGATTTAGCTGTGGCATCCTGCATTTGTCCTGGGCTCCCATGTCTTTCTTTAATCCCATCCTATCATGTTCAGTCTCTTTATGACTCCTCAAAGATTTTGTCCTGTAAAACTTCTTTTGCTATTTTGATCCCAGCTAGGAATTCATTTAACAATATTTTCCTATCATTTTAGGGATCTAATACAAAGAATAGTCTGTAGTATGTGTTAGGTTCACCACCTGGGGGCAGAAATAGAGTCAATTCTCAATTCTCTATTGTTCAAGCTTAAGAATAGAAGAGATGGTGCCAGAAATTCTGAAGAAGAGGTAGTGACAAGTAATTTTTCTTTACAATGTGACATGTGACTCTTTTGCATCAAGATCAGCAGTTAGAACTGGGAAGGACCCTGCCCTTGGCTGCATCTTGAGAACTCTGCTTCACTTTGTAGAGCTGCACATATTTCTGGCCTTTGTCAGGCTCCCCAGCAAAGTTGCTTAAAACCAGGAAGGAGTGCCACTAGCACCTGTCCTCAAATTAAAAGCCAGATTCCAGTTGTATTCTGATGTCTACCTACTTCCTTCCAGGTCTTGTCCAGGACCTTAAATACTGTTTCTGCCTTTCAATACCTGAACCCTCTTTTTGTCTTGTTTCCTTACACCTACCTTAAATCTCAGTACATGTCTGTAGATTAGATATCTGTTTCTGCTTAGCCCTCTAGACAAGGACCTGGCCTTTGCTGAGTACCTACAACATACAGGTAACTTGTCTAACACACTGCACTTAGACCTCATAACAACCTTATGAAAGAGGTGTTATTCATCTTAAATGAGGAAACTAAGGCTCACAGAGCTAAGTGACTTGTTTGAGGCTGCAAACCTACAAAGTGGCATGACTAGGCCGCAAGCCTCCCTACACGTGGCTAAAGCCAAGACTCTTCCTACTGCACCACATCGCCTCCTGGGACTTTACACTCTCAGCTCTGCTTCTTTCCTTTAATGTTTCTTTCGTTCATTTTGTCTTTGGCTGAGGCCAGTGGGTGCTGACTCGTTCTGCCCACTTGGAGTCTGTTTCACTTGTTGCATCTTACCCTGGCATGCACAGTTTTGACCTCGGTTTTGCCATTAAATTTCAGAGTGGAGGGATGCCTGGGTGGCTCAGTCACTTAAGCATCGGCCTTTGACTCAGGTCATGATCCCAGGGTCCTGGGATCGAGTCCCGCATCAGGCTCCTTGCTTGGAGGGGACCCTGCTTCTCCCTTTGCCTGCTCTGCCTGCCGCTTCCCCTGCTTGGATGCCCTTACTCTCTCTCTCTCTGACAAATAAATAAATAAAATCACCTAAAAAAATTTCACAGTGGCTACCATCTTGGCTGAAGGAACACACCTTCAGGATTCTCTGACTGGCAGGCTACTTTAGGAATTCAAATTTCTGGAGCTGACTCCATCCAAGACATAACCTTCATATTTGTATTTGCCAAAGGAAATATGATGTTAGCCTGGTATTCCATTGGCATTGTTACCTCCACGTGGGGTAAGGGTTATACCTGGTAGCAAGAGAGACAGCACTCTAATTATGAATCTGTTGCATTCATCCTCAAACTGAATAATCCACACTTACTCTACTCCTTTCCTCACTGTAATGAAAATCCTTTCTTTTTGTAAATAAAGACCCCGCAATTTCTAAGAGAAGACTGGAGACTCACCTATTAAGATGTTTTGTGGGCACAGATCCTGGTGAGTGTATCCACACCGCAGATGTAGTTCTTCAACAGCCTTAAATACAGATAAGACGGTGTTTCGGGCAAACTCGTCTTCCTCGTTTTCCACAGCCTGCCCACTGTGCTTGGCCAAGTGTTCCTCCAGGGTCTGCTCACAGAGGGCAAGACACACATACAGACAGTCCTTGTAGCTCTCACTCCCGTAGAATGTCACCAAGTCACTGTTTGCTCGGCCGCTCTGCAGACAGGAGACTTCCTGTCGTCCATGTGTGCTGCCTTCATAGAATCGTTTCACAGCTACTTCTTGCCCTTCATAGAACCCAAGGTAGATGCCCCCTTCAGAAGTGTCAGCAATCTTATATTCTTCATCAATAAAGATCTTGAGTTTGCCAATCATAGGGCGGTATATTCTGTGGAGGTGTTCCAAGGCTTCCCCCCAGCGTGAGCTCTGAGGCTTCCAGTCTTCAGTGGGAGGGGGACAATCTTCTCTGGCCCCATGAGAGAGAAGAAGCCTTACAAGGGAACTGTCATAGTTGCGCCTCGCTATCATCACAAGATCCCCACAGTTCGTAGTGGCTCCTTTGTTGCATAACAGTTGAGCAATTTCCTTCAGTCTGAGTTGGACGGCCAACAGAAGTGCTGTTTTGCCCTCACTGTCTGTCTCATTAATCTCTATATGTTCTTGTTCCAGAAGCATCTGCACCAAACCCAAGTGCTCCTTTTCCACTGCCAGGATCAGGGGTGTCTTCCCTTTCTCTCCCCTCACATTGACATCAGCCCCATGCTGCAGCAGAAGGCTGGTGATGCCCTCCACATTTCTAACATCAGAATTCCTAAATGCATAGATCAAAGCATTTCTGCCCATATTGTCACAGGCTTTGACATCTGCCCCCATCTCATCAAGGAGGATCTTCAAGACACCTACATGTCCATTTTCAGCAGCATCCATTAGAGCTGTGGCCCCTCCTTTCCTAAGCCTCTTTTGATCCTCCTTTGTCTTTCGGCTCAAATTCACGTTTGCCCCATTCTCATACAGGAATTTTAAAGCTTTATCCTTCCCATTCACAGCAGCTTCCATGAAAGCTGTGAAGCCATTAGCATCAAACTCATTGACATTCACACCTTTAGAAAGGAAAAGTTTGAGCAGCTTCACATTTCCCACAATCCCAGCAATGATGAATGGAGTGGCCCCATTCTTCTTCTTCAGACAAGGGTCAGCCCCATGACGAAGCAGAAGATCCACCATGTCCTCCTGGCAACTTTGTACCGCATTATGCAGAGGTGACCAGCCCCACTCGTCCTGGAAGTTGACATCAGCCCCTCTTTCCAGGAATTGTTGGACCAGCTCAATGTCTTCTTCTTTAACAGCTTTGATTAACTTATTGCCATCCACTGATATCTCCTCATTGCTGGAGGGTGTGGGTCTCTCCTGAAGGCTGTTATGGCTCTTGGTCTCCATGATGGTAATTACCACTGGCTACAACTCTGTGCCTTTGAGAAAATGCAAACTTATCTCCTTGGGACTTGATCAAAGAGACATGGAGCTCTTTGAACTATCAGGTTAAATAGAGATTATCTGGCTGTAGACCAGCAATATGAGGAAGGAAATATTCTTGGAGTCTTCTAACATTCCACCTGGAGATGAGCTATTTTGTAATTTTATAATAGTGAGAAAGCATTTGAATTAGAAAAATTAATTTTACTAGCAACTTTTTCAAAATACATCTACTTATTTATATAGAACTTTTTACTATAGAATATTATGAACATATATAAATTAAAAACAAGAAAATTTTTACACTGCAGTCCCACCACCCAGAAATAGGCATTGTTAAGATTTTAGGGGACTCCTGGGTGGCTCAGTTGGTTAAGCATCTGCCTCAGGCTCAGGTCATAATCCCAGGGTCCTGGGATCAAGTCCCACATTAGGCTCCTTGCTCAGTGGGGAGCCTGCTTCTCCCTCTGCCTGCGGGTCCCCCTGCTTGTGCTCACTCTCTCTCTCTGACAAATAAATAAATAAAATCTTTTAAAAAAAGATTTTAGTATATTTCTTTTTTAAAAACTTTTTATTTATTTATTTATTTAGAGAGGGAGACAGTGCAAGCAGGGGGAGGGGCAGAGGGAGAGGGAATCTCAAGCAGACTCTGCACTATGCAGGGAGCCCGCCACAGGGCTCAATCTCACAACCCTGAGATCATGACCTGAACTGATATCAAGAGTCAGAACCACCCAGGTGCCCCTATTTTAGTGTATTTCTATAAAATTTTTTTTAAAAAACAGCTGAGATCATGCTATATGAGGATACTGTATAAATATCCTGCTTTCTTTCATCTAATGCCATTGTATAATTTTCCTGTTATCACAAAGTCTTTTAAAACATTTTTAATGGCTCTGCAATAGGCCACTAGTCACTTGCTTCATTTCCTTATTACTAAACAGTTTTTAAAAACAACTTTTAAGCAAGATTTTTAAAATTGGAATTTTCTAACCATTCTAAATAATGTTGCAGTAAATTTAGCTTTTTAAAGCTTGTTTTCTTATGATAAATCTTGTAATAGATTTCTTATGATAGATTTCCAAGAATTGAATGACTGGTCAAAGTGTAACAGCATGCCAACAGGTCTTAAGCGTTAATTGGCTTCAAGCTTATCCACTCTTTGCTTGCTGACCTAAGTCCCTTGATCTGTAGCAGAACTAACTTACTTTCCTTGAGATTTGCAGACCACTGGCCTTGAGGAATGAAGGACCAGACTTTCCCAGAAGAGAAGGCCTAATTCCATTCAGGAACAGCTGCTAGAGATGCTAGCCTACCTGTTTAGGGTCATACTGACATACGACTGACTGCCTGCGCACCTGCCACTCCTGCACGCAGCTCCCACCCCCACCCTCTTTCCCATGTCTTTTCCCCTAAAGCCCTCCAGCTTCCCGGAGGATGAGGAAGATGGTCTTTGAGACATTAGTCTGCCATCTTCCCAGGTTGCCAGCTTCCTGAATAAAGCAGCCTTTCCTTTCCCACCATTACCTGCTTCTCTAGTACTGATTTGTGAGCAGCCAGCAGGCAAACCTGAGTTTGGAACCGGTTCTCTGTCCGGTAACAAAAGGATTATCATTGTTTTAAAAAATTCTCAACATATCTTAATAAATTTCTTCCAGTGTCATATTAACATACCCTCACTAGAAATAGATGATCTCTTAAAAGAAAAAGAACCCTCATTAATAGGGGGAAAAAAATGTGTTTTGTGTCAATTTGCATTTCTTACACCTCTCAGTGCATTTACTGGCTCTGGGCATGTCTTCTTTATGCATGTGTGCTTCTATTCAAAGTAGCAGAGAGAAGTGGAAAGAGCTCAGACTCCAACCTCACAAGATTTAAGTTTGAACCCCTGATCATTTAACTTCAGACTGTTACTTCCTAATTGTGTAACATTAGGTTATTCTCAATTTTCCGTCCCCTCATGCATATAAAGTATGGCAAATATTAGGCATTCAATAACTGATAGACTTAATAATGTCCCTTCAGGAAAACAAAATTCAGCGATTCCTACTCCCGCCATACACAAATGGGGGAGCTGGTGGTGTTAAGTCAGTCCAACTGCCCTCCGTCAGATGAGAGCAACAGAGCCGCAGTTCAGCCGCCAGACAGCACCGAACTGGTCCTTGCAGATTTGTAAAACTGCACCTGCTACAGACCCCGCGAAGCACCCGTTTTCAGCAACCTGGCCACCGGGACACTCTCCAAGCCCCCACCCTCAGAGATCTAAATCGATTGTGCTACGAAAGCACGATCACCTGGCAATGAAAATTTTGAGACACATGTTTGTGTTCAAAGATCCTGCTACAACAGGTGTGAGACAGGCTGGTCTAAAGAAAGGAGCAGAGAAGGGAAGTCGAAGAAACCCCCAAGTGAAATAGCTGAGTGAAGAGACCACCAGAGCGCTGTCCGGTACAAGCCTGATTTCGGTTTCGTTTTCTCGCTCTCGCCATTGGTGCTGGACAAGAGAGAGACGGCTTGATTAGGTACCGCGTGTACTGGACTGACTGCGGGCGAACCCTGGAATTCCGGGTTGGGGGTGGGGGGGCGATCAGGACCAGAGAGCCCAGCCAGCGGCCGGCGGGCTGCGCGCTGTGCACTCACCCCCTTTCGTCTGCAGAGCCCGGAGCCCAAAGAATCCCTCAAATGGAACAATTGCTCAAGCTACCGCAGCTCTCCAGCCCCTCTTACCTTCTAAACTCAGACGCCCCTCGGCTCTTCCTTGGAGAGCGTTCGATCGTCTGACCGCGGGGCCAGCAGCAAAGCACTTCCTCTTTGTGATCGCTGAGTCCGCGGGGCGGGGCAAAGAGAGACAGGGAGTGAAGACAAAGGACGGAAGGTAAAGCCGCACGCCCCGGAGTCCACAGCGCATCTAACCCTTGGCAGGACCGCGAGGCCTCCGCTCTGACTGCAGGGGGCCCATCTGATGGCCCACACCAAGCCGAGCCCGCTTCGTCTTTACCACGTTATTCCAAATCCCCTACTGAGGGAAATAAGTGGTAAAGAAACATTTATTGAGCACCGACTGGGTGCGGGGCGCCCTGCCCATTTCTTCACAAGTGACATGACCCCAGTTAACCCCTGACAACCCTGATGATGATGAATCTGAGGCTCAGAGAAGCTAAATAAACCCAGAGCCCAAGCTCCCTCACTCATCTGGGCACACTCAGCTCACTCACTGCCCGGAGGCCCTGAGCCCCCCTCCCCAGAAGGGCACCAGTCTGGCAGTCTAAAGACTTGGTCCTGCAGCCAGTGCTGGGGCCCTTTAGGGGAGTGAACTCAGGTGGGTGGATGGTTTAACCATGTGGAGTCTCAGTTCTCTGGTGTAACATGGTTTTTAAGATTCCTTTCTGCTCTAGAAGTTCTGTTCTTGCCACTTTCCTAGCACTGAGATGCATACTGTGTACTCAACACTGCAGTGGGAAATATTCCTGTCCTCAAGGAATAGCCAGTCTTGCTGGGGAGACCAACTCTTGCCCATCTTGAACCAGGAGAATCAAGGAGGGGTGGCCCAAGAGACATGTAGAGTGTGACAACTGTTCTGGTAGGAGGAGACTTCAGTCTGCCCACAGAGACCCCAGGCACAAGGCTGAGTCCAGAGCTCCAGACTCTGAAGAAGGAGCCACCACCAAGAGCATAGGCAAGCAGGCTCAGGAGCGGATGGGAAACCAAGGGGGGGGACATGCAGAGAGAAGCCTAGGCCAAGGCCAAGGCTAAATATAAGGATGTCTCCCTCCATCCCTTTGGCTTCCTGTTTCCACACACAGCATGTTAGATATTGGGACACGGTGTCTCACCCTTCCCCTCTTTGGACCTTCTTTGCATCTGACTTACCAGAAGCTCCTCTTCTTCGATCTTGGCAAGAAGACAATGGGGTCAAACTGAATCAGATATATTACTGATGTTCTCACAGCTTCATCACAGTTTTGCTGATTAAATTCAGATTTTCCCGCTTTCCTTTGACTGTAGTAAACTTTCATCTTAGCTCTTCTGTCACTCGTTAAGAATAAAATAAAAAGATGAAGAAGTAGAGATGTGGCTAAAATAGGAAATTAAAATTTGCGAACAAAACAAACAAACAAAAATGCTCAGGACCCAAGTGATCATAAAGCATAATTCCAAAGGAATAAACAAAGGCGTGGCAAGAAATGTGGGCAAGGCCAAACAGCTGGTATGGCTGGAAACTCCCTAGCACTTGCAAGTGAATGAAGGCTCTTGCCAGGGCACTCCAGGCCCACAGGCAGGAGCAGGAAATGGCAAGACTCTTGCTAGCAGATGTCAAGGCATTAAGTCTCAGAATGCTTCAGAGCAAGGACTCTGGTACCGGATTACCTCGCTTCAAATCTAGACTCTCCCACTGTGTGTGATAGAATAATTACAAAAAGTAGCCACATTTTTTTTCAACCCTCCCTATACCCGTGCCCTTTACAATTTAACTTCATACTTTTTCCTCTTTAAGTACTCTCATTACTCCCTTCTTTGACTCCGGGCTGGGGACCCTGCCACCAAATGAAGATGCCTGGGCTAGCCTGATGGGTGATAAGAGAGACACATGGCCCAGACACCACCATTGCCCAAGCCAACAACCAGCCAATCCTTAGATATATGAGTCAGGCCAACCTAGACCAGCCAGCTCTCACCAGCCCACCAGTGGATCACAGACATAAGAACAAGCCAGTTGAGATCGGCTGAGCCCGGCCCAGAGAAGCAGAAGTGCCTAGCTGACCCACAGACTCATGAGCAATAATAAGTGCTTATTATTTCAAGCCAGCATTTTGGAATGGTTTGTGATGCAGCAATAACTCACTAACAGAGCCCCCGGCTAAATCTTTGAATTTGGACAATTTCCTTAAACCTTCCAGCCTTTGGTTGCTACATGTGCAATATGGTGATATCAAATAACATAAGTTACCTCACAGGAATATGGT